GCTGGCTGGCTGCCGGGCTGGCGGGCTTGTCCAGGAGGAGAAGGGTCACCGCCTCTTGCCGGTCGGCGGTCGGGGTCAGGCGCAGGCCGCGCTGACGGGGACAAACACGCTATCTTGTCACGTGCCACCAGCACTCGGGGAGGCCGACGGGGAGGCGGCGGGGGCGGCGGCAGCGACACCGTGCACCGGGAGGCGACAGGGTAAACTCCGGCGCACTCTGTCAAGGTTCCGACTGACAGTGTTTGGGGGAAAGAGGGGGGGGGCATTTGTGTGAGGTCGGCAGCAATAAGCTTGACGGCGAATGAAACAATTCGAGTCGCTTCCTTCCGCAGTATTGCGAGCCGCGGCGGCGGGGGAGCAGGGCGGAGAAGGAGAGGGGAGGGGGAGAAAAAGTGTTTGCATGTGTGTTTTGTATCAGACGGCCTTTAGCCCTGCTGCCAGCCTGGCGGGAAAAATAGAGGCGGCAGCGCAAAAGAGAGACAAAAAGACAAGAAGCGGCCGGGGGGGGGGGGGGGGCGATGTGTGGGTGGGTGGCTCACTGGTTGGTGCACTGGTTGGCCCACTGGTTGGCCCACTGATTGGCCCACTGGTTGGCCCACTGGTTGGCCCACTGGTTGGCCCACTGGTTGGCCCACTGGTTGGCTCACTGATTGGCCCACTGGTTGGCCCACTGGTTGGCCCACTGGTTGGCCCACTGGGTGGGGTATTGGCCCGCTGTCTTGCCTGCGAGCAAGGAGCTTACCCAGTCCTTAATTGGATCCTGCGTTAAGGGAAGAGAGAAAAAACACGAGCGAGGGACATGTGTCTTATTTTCGCTTTCTGCTCGCGCGCGGGGGCCTCAGCCGGCCTCAGCCCCACGGGGGAGTGGGAGCCGCTTTAAAAATGGGATTCCGGCAGCGGGCGGCCCGGCACTCCAGGCACTCCCTGCTGCTGGCCGAGGCAGGGGGGCGCTAATCTGTGAGGGGCTGCCGACTCGAACGTCGTCCCCACGCTTATTCCGAGAGTCGCTCTCTCGCACCTATACGGGATGCCCCAAGAGTGCGAGAGAGACAGCTCGACGAAAACGACTGTCGGAATCCGGTCCGCCGAGGGGGCGTCCTGGTGCGCGGGGGCAACGGCTTCGGTCTGGAGGCCCTCATTCGACCGGCATATTAAGAAAATGCATCGTATTTCAGGCCCGGACCGATATCGGCTTGTTTAGCATAAATAATGTCTACATCCCCAGGATGTTTACGAGCCCCGCCCCCTCCCCCTCGGGGTCCTTGAGGATGCCGGGAGGGCGCGCCAGAAGCCGGCAGGCCACCGCGCCTCCGCGCATCCCGCGTTCAAAAACCAGCAGAATTCTTTTTTTTTTTAATCCTTCAATCTATAGGGATTTTGAACAAAGTCGTTAGTTCAAGTTCACCAAGACCCCTTTTTGGATTTCTACAACTGTACATCGGAGCCAGTGGAGAAACAAGTCCGGGCAAAACGAAATGCGCGTGGGCGGACATCCTGGCACACCATGCAATGCGATGCAATGCGTCAGCATTAGACTTTGTTCGGGATTTTTTTTTGTTTTGTCTTGCAGGGCAGGTCGCCGCTGGCTGAGACGCCGACCCAAGTTGGAGCGGGGCCGTGTGCGGCCGTGCGGGGCCTGGGGACGGGCGGGGCGGGCCAACCGCTTGCCGCTTAGATGCGCCACCTGCTTCCACCGGTACTACCGCTCCACTCGCCTCGCGCCGCAGCCAGGACAGCCAGGGCAGCAGCCCGGCGGCCCCGCCGCCCCGGAGACCACAGAGTTCGTAACTCGATTCCGACGTGACGCTTGCCCAGAAGTTGTCAGACCGGACACAGCGGCGGCAGCGGGCCGCGGCGGAGGGGAGGAAGGTGCAGGTCCATTGACCTCAACTACTTGACGACCTACAGCAGCGCCAGCGGCAGCGCGGTCCATCACGACCACCGCGGCCACTTAAATGTTTTCGCCGGGCCGCCAACCAAATCGCCCAGGCAAGCCGTTTTCCGGCCAATCTCGGGCGCGCCCCCTCGACGCGACGCACGCCGGGAGCCAACTTGCCCGCCAACTCGCGCAACACCTCAAAGGAGAAATCGCCGGTCGAACGTGCTTCCAACTCGCTATAAATTGATGCCGCAGCGCCGCCCTTGTGTGTGTGTTTGTGTGTGTGTGTGTGTGTGTGTGTGAGTGTGCACGGCAAAAGTAGCGCCTGGGATTCCCAGGCGGTGCCTGGAAAATAGGCCCTTTTTCCCATGATGCGCCTGGGAATCCCAGGCGCTACTTTTGCCGTGTGAGTGTGAGTGTGTGTGTGTGTGTGTGTGTGTGTGTGTCTGTGTGTATTAGTGCCTGCTGGCTTGCGCCGCTAACCTCATCAATTCCGTCGCCATCCCCGCCGGAATACAGTGGCTGGCGCCGCAAACTACGGGCACGCGCGGCGAGGAGGAGACGTTCGCCCCGAAACAGGTAAACGCCGCCGCGGCCACGGCAACCTGCACGGCGAGGAACGGGGCTGCTGCTACACTGCTGCTGCTACACTGCCGTTGCCACACTGCTGCTAGGAGCGCTCCTACACCGCTGCTCCTACGCTGCTGCTCCTACGCTGCTGCTCCTACGCTGCTGCTCCTACAGTGCTGCTACTACACTGCGGCTGCTGCGCGATGCAGCATTTAATCAACAGCATCCGGCAATGCCTTTCCACGCGAGCGCCGTTCTGCTGCGTCGAGGCCCGCGCCATCAATTTGTATCCATCCCCCAAAAGTTTTCCGCTGACGAGCGGCACGAGAAATATTTAGGCGCGGCGGTTGAAAGTCGGCCGGGCGGCCGGGCGGCAGGCTGCACAGTGGGCCAGAGGATCGGCGCAGGCGGCCAAAACTCTAGCCGCGTTTTGAGCCCTAGAGTCGCTAAACAGGACTCGAACCGAACAAGTGTCCCCGCCAATGGATTCCTCGTTCGGAGAGCAATCCGTTCGTGGGGTCACTCGCTTGGTTCGAGTCCCATTTGGTGACACTGGAGCTCAAAACGCGTCCGGGATTGCGACCGCCCCCATCTGCCTTCTGGCCCACTGTGGGCCGTGCCCCTGAAAGCAAAGTATCGCGTTCCCGACGAGACGGACGAGACGCGGCCGTGAGAGCGGCGCGGCTAGTTTCGAGCGCCGCCACCACGCGCGTGGCGCGCACAGCGGGCGGGAAGACCGGTGGAGGCCGTCAAAATCCTGGACGGATTTTGAGCTCCAGGGTCGCTAAATAGGACTCAAATCGAACTTGTGACCATCAATGGATTGCTCTCCGACCGAGGAATCCATTGGTGGGGTCACACGTTCGGCTCGAGTCCTTTTTAGCGACTCTGGAGCTCAAAACGCGTCTAGTGGCCGCCTGCGCTCGTTTTCTGGCCCACTGCGCGCGGTCCAGCACCCCCGGCGCGGAAACGCTCCGCTAAAAAGAGCGGTCGCTTTTTTTGGCTGCGCTGTGCCATTCAGAGTATTCATTCGGCATCGCGCAATAAGACGAGCCTGCCAGCCTTGTCTGGGCGGCATCCCGCCGGCGTCCCCGGCCGGGGGGGCAGCCAGCCCAGATTGGTGACGGGGCGGGCGCGAAGCGAGGCCCGAGGCCCGCGCCACTACACTCGCACACACCCCGCGCCGGCCGTGCGACACAGTCGTGCGACACAGTCGGGCAGCGCGCCATTTTATTGCATTTCAAAGCCGGCCAACTATCTTGCGAGGGTTTGAATGGTGAACGGGAAACGACCGGCTGGGCGCGGCCAGGCGCAGCGAGGCGCAGCGAGGCGCAGCGAGGCGCGGCCAGGCCGAGGGATCAAAACGGGAATGGCGGCGGCGCGGCAGCCAGTCCGGCGACGCACAGTGGGCCAGAAGACCGGTGGAGGCGGCCAAAACTCGAGACGCGTTTTGAGCTCCAGAGTCGCTAAACAGGACACGAACCGAACGTGTGACCCCACCCCTGGATTCCTCGTTCGGAGAGCAATCCATTGATGGGGTCACACGTTCGCTTCGAGTCGCATTTAGCGACTCTAGAGCTCAAAACGCGTCTGGAGTTTTGGCCGCCTCCACCGATCTTCTGGCCCACTGTGCGACGGCGCGGCAGCACGCGAAAAGGCCAAAAGGATGAAAGCGGACGGCCAATCCGGGCAGCGCGCTGCCAGCCCTGCCAGCGCCGCGACAAAGGAGAGAGAGCTACCGTATTCCAGATTAGGGCGGGGCGGCCGCCGGCGGGGCCCCACGGGGGGCGCGGGGGGCGCGGTGGGGCGCGGTGGGGCGCGGTGGGGCGGGCCCGCTGGGCCACACACGCAGGCGGCCAACATGCACAATTGGAGTGCAATCCCGCGCTGGATGAGCCGTGCCGAGCAATCGGGTCGACAGGCTGCACGGCGGGGCGGGGCGGGCGGGCGGGGCGGGGCGGGGCGGGGCGGGGCGGGGCGGGGATTTGGTGACTGCCTCGTCGACGGCAAGGGGAAGGGGGGCCTCGCTCGTGTACTTCAAGGGCGCGCGCAGATTCGCCCTGCAGGCGTGCCGACGACGAGGCAACGGCATGGCGGCAGAAAACTCTCTCATTTGGCGGTCGCGAGCACGAGGCGCAGAGCACGGTGACGAAGTCCTCGCCTCGCCTATTCTGCCCATTGCTGTCCGTGTGCTGCTCGGCGAGCTTCGCGTCGAGGAGGGGAGGGGGGGGGGACATTCCATTTCCTTTCCATCTGCGGGGAGGCTGACGAATGTCAGGCGAGTGGGGACTGCGGCAAGGCGAGGCAAGGCGAGGCTTGGCACGCCGTCGACGCGTGCTGCTCCACGTTCCGCCCGAGCTGCACCACCCCGAAGTTGCTTGAAGCAGCCCGAAGGTCGGTGTTTCAATATTCCCTTGTTACCCCAAGCCGACTTGGCGCGCGGGCCGGCAGCGACACGTGTTTGTACGACGTCAACATGCGGGGGCAGCACTGCGGAAATTTTGATTTTCACTCTACACTTGCTCTTCCGAAACAAAGGCAACCCACTCACCTCGGCTGAACTGGTTGTAGTTCTGGATGACGCGCTCCGCGTTCTTCCGCGCCACGAAGAACCACTCGGACTTGTTGCCCAGGTACTTGTACTCGACGGCCAGGTCCTTGACGAGGATGGGGCCCTCGGGCAGGCGGTAGGCGAACGGGCAGAACAGCCAGTAGTCCTTGTACTGGAAGGCGTCGTAGCAGTTGCCGGCCGCGAAGATGTCGTCGTCGAACTCCACCATGGCGAACACGGCGGCGTGCAGCAGGTACTCGGAGTGCATCACGCCGGCGCCGGCGTACTTCCACAGGCGGGTCAGCATGTTGGCGCGGTTCACCGCCACGTCGGCCTCCACGCGGAAGCGCTCCTGCGGGGCAAAAGTCCATTTTGAAACACTAGAGGAAAAGACACCAAGTGAAAACTCGCTTCCAAAAAAAGACAGTCTTTTTTTTCTTATTTTTTAAGGGAAAACAAGGACCGTCACTGTGGGCATACACTCCGAGCACAAGCAGCACTGAGTCAGCGTCCGGCCAGGGCAGAGTGTTTGCTGACCCCTCGCCCTCGCCCCTTCCACCCCACCCCTCCCCACCCCACCGCCACGCCACCGCCAACCCCTGCCCCACGTCCCTTGACGCCCAGTCTGGTCCTCATTGTGCACTTGTCACAGCTGCTTCCTGCGTCCCGCGTCCTGCGGCCCGCCCTGTGACCTGTGTTGCGCCGCCCCCGCGCCGCCCCCCGCGCCGCCCCCGGCCTCTGCCGTGCGCCCCAACCTACACGCTTCCTGTTGTGTTACACCGCCATTCTCCAGAGGCAGACCCGACAGGGAGGGGGAGGGGGGAGTCCCGGGGAGGGGAGCAGCGGCGGCAGCGGCGGCAGCACGAAGGTTAGGTCAGGTGGTTACAGCGCGAGCGACCGCCCCAAAGCCCACGTCCTGCCAAACCACGTTGCCTATCAGGAGCTGCACGCCACTACACTGACAACACGCTGATTATTCCGTCACACCCCGGCCATTTTCACCGCGTCGCTTTCCGTGAGTCACCTTTTTAATCGCCGTGCAAATACACTTTGCCGCACGCTTCCCTTTCCGTCGCTCTGCGTCTTTCTCTCTCGCACTCACGCGGCGTCTCTCATGGGTGCGAGAGAGACGGAGCGACGAAAACGACTCTCAGTCTGCTGGGACAATCGATACAGGGGACCTCGCCCGGCGTGCGTGTCTGGGCCGTGAATCACGCCACAGTCTACACTGGACAATCTGGATTGCTCATTAATTTCGCAGCAAACTTGACTGCGAGGACCGTCTGTGCATGATGCGGCGTGCCGTCTGGTCGCCCCGTCATCCCCTCGTCGGGCTGAGGAGATGTTGAAGACGGTTTTGGGGGAGCGAGGAGGGGCACAGGGGGAAAGGGGGGGGGGGGCGGCTTCGAGGCCGCACCAGCACACAGACGATACAGAGGATCCGTGTAGTAGCACTGGATTGGTCAGGATTAGGCAGCGTGCTCAGTGACGAACACATTCGGCGAGACACTGGCAAGGCCCGCCCCCGCCCCGCCCCCGCCCCCCACAGAGGAAGGCGCAGCCCCCAGGCCCCGCAGGCGCCTGGCCCGCCTGGCCCCAGCCCATCCGGGTCGGCAAACACGCCGCAGCTTCTTCGTCCTTCCTCTCCTCTCCTTTTCTGACAGTGTGTGCGGACCGACCGACCGAGACAGCGACCAGGGAGGTTCCTCCGTTTCAATCAAAGTCGTCAAGATTTCGTTTGCCACTGACCACTTCCCTCACTTCGCTCCTCGTCGGGAGCACGGCGGCGGCGCGGGGCCGTCCGTCCGTCCGTCCGGCAGCCGTCTGTAAAGTTGGATTGAAATTCATCCGGGGGATTTCCGGGCGAATCCTCGGCGAAGCCTCGGCCGGCTAAGGTTACCGGGCGGCCCGGAGCCCAAAAGTTGCAAGGCCGGATCGATGGATCGATTCCGTTCGGAAGAAGTGCCCTTACTTACAGTGCCGTGCCGCCACTGGCGCCTCGCCGCCTCGCCGCTACAGGCTGCTGGCCCGTCCGCTCTTTTCCGGCGAAGCAGCGCAGTCCGTCGACCATTTGCAGCGACATCCCGTCTCCGAGCGGGCAGTCAAGTGACGGCCATCAAATCTGATTTGATTTTCAAAAATTGTAACTTTTCGCGAAAATTGCCGATTTTACCGGTCCAGAACGTGTGCTGGGGCCCTGCGGCGAGCGCGCCGACACGGGCGAGCCAAACAGCAACGGACACGTCCTGCGCCAAGCCAAGCCTCGCCTCCCAAACCGGAGTTGACGCGCCGTCTCGGCCGAGGTCTCGGCGACACAGTGCAGGAGCGTCTCGGGAGCGGAGCAGCGGAGGCCACTGCACGCTAGTGAGTCCGGTCCAGTCCGGTGGCCGAGGCGCCGAGGCCGAGCGACTCGAGTCGGAAGTTCATTTCTTTTCTCGGCGCGCAGCGAGCAGTCCCGGCGGCGGTACAGCGCGGCGGACTCGACGTCCAGCCACGTATGGCATGACCCCCTCGCCTCGGCCCCTCGGCGGCCCCGCGGCCCCTTTGAGCGCGGAGCGGCGGCGCCACCGGCACCCCTTTACGGCCGTGTGCAGCTTGGTGCAGCTCAGTGGGCCGAGGTAAGGCGAGGCTGCGCGCCGCCAGCCCGCCCGGCCCTGGCCGCCGCCTTGTCGAGTGGTGAGCAATGGGGCCGGGGCAGCCGGGGCGGCCGGGGCGTGGCGGCGGGGCCGCGCTGATAAAAGAACATCGGGCCTCGGCCAAGAAAGGCTGCCGAAAAAGAGCGCAGCCTCGGACACCACCACGACCTCGGACACGGCGATCAATGTCTCGGACTCCGTCGCCACGGCCTCGACCACGGCCTTGAACATAACGAACAGCAGCCGCCTCGTCCACCACCGTCACGGCCTCGAACACGACCCGCAGGGCCTCGGCCGGCCTCGGCCACCGGGGCGTCGACGAGCACCGGGCCGTCAAAGAGACCCCTGGCCGGTTAATCACGGGGCACGGGCCGCTGAACCCGAGAGGGGCACCTTGGAGAGAGGGCGCCAGGGCGGCGGGCGGGGCGGGGCGGGGGGCCTTAGTGCGGGACTCATTTAGATTGATGACCCATCCGGATACAGCGTCTCAGTCCCCACCCTCCTTATCCTTCCGCCCCGCACGGCCTCGCCACGGCCTCGCCACGGCCTCGCCACGGCCGCACGGCGTGTCGGCCGGCGTGTCCCTTCCTCTCGCCAAGTTTCCTCCCAGTCAGCTGGGGGCCACAAGGCATGCGCCGATTGCGCCGGGCGGCGCAGAGGCGGCGCAGAGGCGGCCCCACAGGGCCCCTCCAGGGGCGGGGGCGGCGGGGGCGGGCGGGGCGAGGGGGTAGTTTGGGCCCGCGGGGCCGCAGGGCGTGGCGGGGTCGACCTGTCCCTCCGGACCGCGCCGGCCAGCCACAGCAGCCAGCTGGTGCCGCAGGCCGGGAGAAGGCCCTGCACGTCGCCGACGTCGTCTGCGTCGTCGCCGCGCTGCCGGCCGAGGCCGGGCGGCTGCCACATCGAGCTCCTTCCCACGACACTGCAGAAATAGCTTGGCAGCAGAAAACGACGCTTTTCCAAGCCGCCCTCGCAGGACGGCCAGGTTGGAGAGCACGGTGATGGACGAGTGCCGCCCCCGACCGCCCCCGACCGCCCCAGCCCTCCGTCCTGTCCCCACGACGGGGTCGAGTCGCGCTCCACACATCCTCCATTCATAACCCCCTCCCCCCCCTCCCTTCAGCCAGACGTATCCTCACACGGCTGTCCCATAGACAGATTTGACGGGCGATAGTGGTTCGGAGCGCCTCGCCCGCCTCGCCCGCCTCGCCGCGGATGTGCCTCGGCCTCGGCGTCCTCGGCTGCCTCTGCTCGGATGAATGCCGGTCGCTATTTCCACTCCAGGAGACCGGGGACGGGGCCGGGCACAGCGCGTGAGCGGGCGAGGCTGCTGAAAGGAAGTCAACGCCGGGCCCCACCACCAGGGCCGCGCCGAGACGAGAGTCGATCCCTCGCTCGGCGCGCACGTCGCGGTGAATGCAGCGCGCCACTCGTCAGTGACACGGCCCCGCATCAGTCCCAGCCTCATTCCGAGATGAGTTCTCGCGGCACTCCCTCCCCTCCTCCTCCCCACCAGGCGAAAGGTCACCGCCACCGCCACCGCCGACGACGACGTGCACCCGCCCTGCAGGGCCTACCACACGCCCTCCCTTTCCCCGGCCGCCCCGGCCGCCCCGACCACGACGACGCATTCCAAGGAGCCAAACCACGGCTGCGTGCGAGGCGCGGCGCCGCGCGTCGCGCATTGTCCCCGAGCAGTGGAGTGTGCCTCGGACGCGGCCGTGGAGTGGAATGCGCACCGCCCGGCGCGCCCGCAAGCACCTGGGACGCCAGCGCCACGCCGCGCCACGCCGCGCCACGCCGCGCCACGCCCGACCGAGCAGCGGGGGTGGCAAAGGGGGATGGGAACGCTTTCCAATTGCAGGCCCTGCGAGAGTCCTTCCCGCCGCCGTCTCTCTCGCACCTGCGCTGGAGTGCGCGTGAGACGGAGCGACGACAACGTCTCTCGGAATCAGTCCGCAGTATGTCGGGTCGCATTAACACGTTGCCTCGGCTCCTCGCCTCCTTCGCGCCGTCAGCACCGCCGGCACCGCCAGCAGACGGCGCGCTGAGCTCGCGAGGCGCCACGCCAGCCGAGCGGCCAAGCCGAGCGGCCAAGCGCACGCGGGGGATGGAATTTCCAATGAGGGGGTCGGCATCGGGGCGGCCAGAGGCCGGGCCGCGCCAGGGTCCAGGACCTCGCCCACCAAGCCCACCAGCAGCAGCAGCCAAAGGCAGGCCGTGCCGCGTGCCGGCAGCACCGCCCCGCCGGTCCCAATATCCGGCGGCCCGAGCCGCCTCCTCGTAGACAAAGGCCCGAAGACGGCGAAGACGCGCCCCGCCCCGATTATTTCCAGCTAAGACACTGTGCAATAACACGTTCCCGACACGGGCGGCTCTGGCGGCGCCCTCGCCCCGCAGGCTGACTGCGGACGAACAGCGCTTCCGCTTTCCGTCGCCTCGTCTCTCCAGCGCGCCCCTTGCGCCGCCTCGCGCGACGCGCCTCATGAAACGTGCGAGAGAGACGGCGGCCACCCCGTTCGGAGCCCGCCTGCAGGTTTCCGCCGCTCGGTTCGACTCGGCAGGAAGCGCCTCCGGTGCAACGCCAAGTAGTACACCGTCGCCGAACACGTCTGTACCAAGGAGGGCGCGGCACCCCACGACGACCACGAGCACCACGACCACCGTGGGCACCAATACCACCAAGACCACCCCGGACCACCACGAGCACCACGACCAC